GGGGACTCCCTCTGATCACAAGAGCCCTGTGTGTGTGTTGGGGGGTGATCAGAGTTCCTGCGACAATGTTTGCAGAGTCAGAGCCCGGGGAGCCAGGGCAGGGCAGACACCCACCTGCAGGTGGACGTAGTCATAATCCTCCATCCAGCCTCCCTCACTGTTCTCGTACTGCCCGTCCGGTGAGTCCTGGGAGGTGAACTTGGGGGGTGAGGGCAGGGGCCGCGACTGGATGCTGCTGGCTTTGTCAGTGGGATTGGGGTGGAGGGAGCCACCCCCTTCAGGCCCTGGGGCAGGGGCCTTCGTCCGTCTGAAGAGCAGCGAGGCGTTGCCATGCAAGAAGGAGGCCAGCTGCTTGGCATCCTCGGGCACGGCCCGTGAGCAGGCCACCAGGCGATCCAAGTCTTCAAGGCTGGTCCCTGGGCCTCCCCGGCCACAGTCGAGGACCTGACCATGGGCCACTAGTGTCTGGTACACATCCTCCATTTTCTGCAGTTGCCGGCTAAGCTTGGCATGTAGAGCACGGTCAGAAGTATGAGCAGCATTGCCCACGGCACTGCGGGCAAAGTCCAGCAGCTCATGGACAGCCCCCTGGACGGCAGCCACAGCAGCCCGCAAGTCCTGCATGGACAGCTCCTGAGGCTCTGGGGNTTTTCCCGTTTGCCAGATTCCGTCTGTCGCGCCCCATCCCTGCCCGCCTGTCAACACCCGGCCCTGATGCTCCCCTCACTAGTCCCATGTCCTCCACTCAGGTCTGCCCAGCCCTCGCCCTGGTCCCACAGGTTTCCGAGCACCCCTGTGGGACCAGCGTGCCATCTGCCACGATGTCACCGTGCTGAAGCTGGCCACACTGGCCCAGCGCCAATGCCACCTTCCCCACGGACTCTGTGCCACCACATGGTGGGGTAGACCCGGTACCATGGCGAGTGTCCCTGTGTTTGCCTTTTAGGAGCATGAGACTCATTTTGTTTCTTGGTCAAAATCCCAAGCAGTTGTAATCTTTCCATGTCTTTAAAATCTTCTGAGGACTCGCTGTTTACCTCACTTGGTTAGAACACAGTGCTCATAACTCCAAGGTAAAGGGTTTGGATCCCCACATAGGCTAGCCACCAAAACAAAACAAAAATCTACCAGAAGTGTACATGCCCAGGACACTGAGTTCCTGCCTTGGGTCCAGAAGGTTCTGAAGGCTGAGTCCCCACCCCCCACCTGTGTAAAACTCAAAACCATGGAGAGCAAGTGTTTGCACCTTCACCTGTGACTCTCCACCAGGGGCTGGGGTAAGGATCATGCGGCTGAAGGGTGGGAGGACGGATGCTGTCACGGGGGGCCCCCCTGTGGACTTCAGAGCAAGAGGGCTGGCACATCACCCAGCCCTACCTCCTTTGTACAGACAGGGAAACTGAGGCCCAAGTTCACATACATAAGTAAAGCTGGGAGCAGTCCCAAGGGTTCCAGACACCCCTGTAGCCCACTGTCTGGGTCACAGGCTGCCGGGGGAAGTCCAGGGAGGGCACACACTGGCCAAGAGCAAGGGCCATCTCTGGGCCCCACCTCCCAACTTGGAGGCCAAGTGCACGTATAATTCAAATCACACACCCTGGTTCCACAGCTGAAATGACGAGCTCGTAAGAGTAAAGCTCTGGATGAGGTCTGTGAAAGCGAATCTATGCACAATCACTCGTCCCCCAGTGGTCCTCTCAGCCGGTGGGCTTTCTTCTTGGAGTATGGGGAGGACCCAGCAGGGCTCGTCCCCCTCTGGAGCTGCTCCTGGGCCACATCTGCGTGCACCTCAGACACTTGCTGTGGGCATGTGGCTGGGGCTGCTGCTGTGGCCTCTCCACAGGACTATCCTAGGGGACCGTGGCTGTTGCTCTCAAAGGGCTACACTCAGGCAGAGCCTTCCTGGCCTCAAACCCTGCCTCTGACCACTGCTTTCCACCAGGTTCTGGCCAGCCCTCCCTGCCGTAGTCTAGCTCCCGAGGCCTTGAGGCCATTTACAGAGCTCACCCCCACCTTGAAGAAGACACCCCAGCCACATGCCCCTGGCCCAGCCCTGCTTCCTGGGGCCCTGGCTTCCTCCTGAAGGGACCCACTTTCTCTCCACCCTTCCCGGAGAGGCCACCCAGTCTTCAGCGCCTTACATGTGTCGTTCCCGCTCTGTGGCACGTGAGGGCCAGGGCTGCTCTTGCCTTCCCGCCCAGCGGCCCTCCTCTCATCTCACACACTTCAGGTGGCTG